AAGGATGAAGGGGAACTTCTTTGCCCTGTCTAAAGATTGAAAAAGGGTGGTCATGGGAGAGCCTCTGATGGAGAGCTGACGACAGCTGACAGCTGCAGCTGCAAGAGCCCATCTAGGACCCTTTCCCTTATCTATGCAGCCCTGAAGAGATGGGGGCTCAGTGGGACATCCATCCATCCACTCATTCGTCTTTCAGTCCATCATCCATTCACCTATACACCTAGCCATCCACCCAACCACCCATCTAGTCATCCTTCCTCATATCTATAAGCCTTCTCTCCTGCCTCTCTGATCCATACCCCCGCCTCCAACCCCCATTCCCAGGTGGGCTGGTGCTGTTTGGGATCTGCACTCTGGTCATGGATGTCTTCAAGACCGGCTACTACTCCAGTTTCTTCGAGTGCCAGTCGGCCATCAAGATCCTGCACCCTCTTACCCAGGCTGTGTTCGTCATTGTCCAGGTGAGTGGGTGGAAGGAGCATCCTTGAGTGGGGTAGAAAGGAGACCTGAGCCCCACTCTTCTACCCTGAACAATCAAATAAGGTGGGGATAGGACTGTCGTGGGACTCATGAGTCCACATCTGAAAGGACTTGGCAATGAAGAATATGCAAATGTGAGTACCTACTTAGGGGCCCTGTGATTTCATTTCAACCTGAGCAGTGCTACTAGTTAGCTCCCAAGAGGTATGAGTTGTGGCAGCCACCCTGTCTCCTCCTAGAATCTGGCCTCCCCTCACTGGGTGCCCATAGAGGGCATCAGTCTCAGCCCCAGGTCCTGTTGTGGGCACGGCCAGTTTGGCCTCAGATATATATATATAAAATACACTTTTGAAGACTTTCTGACTGAACAGGACTGGTCTTACATGGGACTAGAAGAGACCCCAGTCCTGTATCATGACCAGAATGGTAACCATGTATGGTTTCCTCCTGTGAAACATCACACGTGTGGCCAGGTTGCCACAATTCAACACATTTATGACTTTGGCATTTATATAATTTTAGTCTTTTACATTTTATGGGTTTGAAGGATACTCAGGTAAAATGAAAATACAGATACCACCACATAGCAAGGGTTTTTCAGCAACCAGATGAAAGCGAAGTCTTAAGTCTTGCAGGGCAACAAAGGATGACATTGGGGCAGGGGACATTGCTAATGGGAGGTGAGAAGTCACCAGAGATTCTTTCTGCCTTGGGCAAGACCTAGCCTGAGGCTGGCCTTGCCCTCAGGAATAAATAACCAGACAGTCAAAACTCTACTTGACCTCCACCTTGAAAAAAACAAACACCAAGACCAGAGAGTTTTACAGTTGACATTTTGCAAATTATTAAAGAGTAGAGTACTATTGTATATGAATTGTTCCATAGAAGAGAGAGAACGCTCTTGGTCTCATTTTGCAAAGCTAAAATAAACTTAATAACTTAGTATGAGGGCTCTTGTGGTGGAGAGAACTTAATGTTGGACGTGGATATGGGCACTCTGGAGTTTAGCTGTGTTTGTTCTGCAGAGTAAATGACCTCACCATTCTCTCTCAACGCAGACTTACTTTCTCTGGGTCTCTGCTAAAGACTGTATTCACATCCACCTGGATCTGACCCGGTGAGTGCCCGTTCCACAGCTCAATGGCCTTGCCCGGGGTGCCAGTGCTCACCTTGCATGAGAGATGAAGGCTTTCCAACCTGAGGCATGAGGCAGAAAGAGGTTGCTGCCCCTTGGGTAGGTTTCAGCCAAAGCC